AAAAAGAGAAGAGATCATGCAATTTCATGCAGATATCGTCAAATAAAACAGTTTTCCATACAGAACACTTAAAATTGACGATCAAGTTTGTATGACCGCATATACTAGTAGTGGTGCGATCTATATAATATCTTCGGAGATTGTAGTGTTGCCTTAAACAATAATCTGTGCGAAATTTCTGAAGATATCTCGTCAATTTGAAAAGTTTTTCATACAAGACTTTATATTGATTGGTCAGTTGTATGGCAGCTATATGCTATGTAACCCGATATTGGCGGCTCCAACAATGAGAGCTGCTTGGGAAAGAGAAAACAGGTGCAATCAGCTTATACTAAAAACTGAGGGACTAGTTCGCGTATAAAAATAGTGGATATAACTTTATATGGCTCCCGACTGTCGTGATTTAATATACCCTATTTAGGTTATAAATATGTATACATTATATAAATTTAATATATTTGCTTTTATCAGGTTGGCTTGGCCGTAGTGAATGGGCAGCTATAGCCGTTGGCGCTTTGATGGCTCGGCCTACTTAAAACAATTGAAGTTTCGATCCAGAAACCAATCAATGGCGTTTATGTGGTTGTATGAATTACCGTCGTTTAGGTGTGGCGTTGGTGGTGAGAGAGCACCACAGACTGAAAACTATATGTGGTAATTTTTGTCATATATATTGCTTGAATTGTGCAAAATTAACATATTTATTATTGCCCTTCTAGGATACGCAAGATCCGTTGTTTGATTGCATACAGAGGAGTGTCATTAAAGCCGGCCACGCCTTAAACATTTGCCGCGTTGCTACGGTACATTTAGGCTTTAAGCTTAAATTAATTCATAAAGCAGAGTATATATATTGAAAACTACAAACATACACAAAAAATCGAATAACCTAATTAAACTAATTATAACAAAAATTATATATATATAAATAAAACACAAAAACAAAAACTTTGCGCATGAATTCAATTTACATTAGAACAATGAAATTCATTGTTTGCCGCTTGCCTGTGATGAAATGTGGATTGTGAAATTGTGCGAGAGGTCGTCATGTGCGCTTAGCCAAATTTCACTTTGTAAAATTGATAAACAAACATTCACAAAGCTGTTTGGAACAGCTATTTGTCCCGTGCGCTGTAACACATTTGCTGAACAACAAGTAAACTAAAAAAATACAACAATTGCTTGTGCGTGACGGACATGCAACCAATTTTTGTAAACGAATAAAATGCAATGTAACGAAAGTTAAAAAGTTGCGTGAAAAATAAAAAGATTGAAAGATTGAACTCGTTTTAAAAGTGTGATAAATAACGGTATAAAAATTTTTAGCTGCCCTTCTAATTGCAAATAAAATAAAAATAAAGAAATTTTTCATTAATAATTATGTAGCCTAGCACCAGTATCCATTAGCAGTTCAAACACGAAAATATCTTTAAATCTTTTACTAATGCTTTAAAAAGCACTACAAATTGTTGTCTAATATGATATATATTTTGAGACCGTTAAGTGAATTTCTAATTTGACAAGATTGGGTACAGTACACTAAGCTCGCAATTAATTAACTTTATTTGTTGTCTTGAATATAAAATATAAAATCGAACCTAAAGCTGACAGCTCTCACTCATAGTAGTAAGCACCTAATACAGTAAAAACTAGTAATAATATTAATATTAAAAACTATAAAAGCAAAAAAAAAAATAATATTAAAAACTAAAAAGCAGCTAAATAAAACTATAAAAACGCAAGCGTTGAGAACCAAAATATACATAATTATATCGAGTAGTCAGCTTATTACCAGCTAATTTTAATATAAAATTTGTTGTAAACCGTATAAATTTTCCTTTCGAAAAATATATTTTTAATCGTAACTTTATTTTAATTTTAGTTAAACTGCATTTCTCAATGAATTAATGCATTAAAATACAAGTAATATAAATATATATATTGTATGTACGTGTGCGTATTTGTGTAAGCATGACCACATGTCCATGTTATGTATGCACGCATGTTTGTAAACTAATGAAAACATTGTTCTTTGCTGAAATCAAATGTTGACAGCTAAATTAAGAATTTATTATAATATAGTATGATCATAAAACCGTAAAGAACGTTGGTAAAGCTGTAACTTGAAATCGCGTTCTACTCGTGACGAAAATTAACGAATATATTAATAAATAATTGGACAAAACATTGTTGATCGTGATCAATGAGTTATTTCATATGTTTTAAATATTTTGTATTTAATTTATATAGAAAATGTTTACCTTTTAGGTTAAATGTGCTGAGCTTCACTCTGTAACTGTAAATATTTAGAATAATGGGTGATGGCAATACAACTGAACGGTAATTAATTAGTGTTCCACATGATTTGTGATCCTATGCGTTTGTTAGTCGTTCAAATGGTAGTTACATATTAGTTATAGTGTGTCCGATCTCAACAATTTGTACGCAGATTATAGCATTGTTCGGAGAATAATCAATGCTATTCGTGAACATATCTCGTCAAATAAAAAGTTTTCCTACAGGAACTTAATTTGATCGTTGAGTTGGTAAGACAGCTATATGCATAGATTTCGATTAAAATGGTTCAGAGAATGTACTTGCTTACAATAATATATACTGAATTTCGGGAAGATATCTTGTAAAATAGAACAGTTTCTCCCACAAGGACTGGATTTTATGGGTCTGTGTTATGGGCAGTAATATGCTATAATAGTCCGATATTTGGCTTGGCTAAATCCATTTGGACACTGTGTACTTTCTAAGGTAAGTTTAAAGAAGGTTTAAAAAAAATCTAAATCAAATCAAATCCTGTTTGGATCGGTAGTAAATAATCAATAACCATGCAACCGTTCCATGTTATCGGATTGAGCTGAATTTACCCGGCCAATTGCTGTATTAGAGGATTTGCCTGTGAAGATTGGTAAGTAAAAATATTATAAGATATATATAAATATAGCATTAATAGTATTAATATAAATATATTTATATATCCAACATAACCTAGGAATAGCAATAATGTCTCCATAGCATACGACTTCACTGTTCGCATGCACAAATGTCATGGTTGGCACTCAAGTTCTCAGCAAGTGAATTATGGATTTTATTGAAATACATTATGGTGCACGAGTCAAATTGCAACATTATAAATTTCTACAATAAATAAAGATATTTACTGTCAAAAAATGCTCAAAAAACTATATTAAAAAAAAACTACAATTTAGCACAATGAAATGTAACATTAATAGGAGCTTACTGTACTTGATTAATATCAGCTGACGTTTGTAAATAACAGGTTTGGCGCGCAATCTCAACTAATTTGTTTGTGATGAAATTCGTGCCTTAATTTTTAGTGTGCAAATATAAATTTGTTTGAAAAATATATTTATGCCGTTGCAAAAATGTCTACACGCAGTTGTGTGTGCCGATGCAGCAAAGTATAATCGGGTAGTTGTGCTAGTGAGGCATGATTTTCTTTTGTCAGTGGAGGGAGAACTTAATCCGCAGCTTAAAGGACAGCCGCTGGCCGTAGTGCAGTATAATGCATGGCGTGGTGGCGGGTAAGCTACAACAATATCCCATATAAATAATTTATCAAATATATTTATTTTTTATTTTATATTTATATCAAGCATAATTGCTGTTAACTACGCTGCGCGTGCCAAAGGTGTAACGCGCCATATGCGCGGTTGATGAGGCGAAGGAACGTTGCCCGGAATACAATTGGTAAAGTAACAAATATACGGAAAAAGCCGATTTGGGCAAGTATCGTGAGGCAGGCAAAGAAGTGGCGAATGTGCTACAACGTTTTACACCATGTTGGGCGCGCTTCGTGTCGATGGCTACACTTAGATATAACGGAAGAGGTTAATAAACGCTATAGGTGACATGAATGCGGTAAATATACTTAATTATGCAAATAATTTTAATCGTTACTGAAGATAATGTACTTTTTCGCCATTTTCGAAGGGTTCATTTATGCTCCAACCGCAACGCTTATAAATACCTATGCTGTTGGCTAGTGCTGGCATTGGTGATTATTTAAATGTAATCACAAAACGTTTAATGAAGCCTAATGCGGATGATTAGATGCGTTATGTTGCTATGCACAAGCACATGATGATGCCGATATGGCGATTGTACGTCAAAGTGTATTCGCTTGCTCATAGGCGCAGCGGTGGCAAGTGAAGTGCGGCTGCTGTTAAGCCGAAACAGATTATGAATGTTCCGCTGGAATTGCGCACAAAAAATTCTGCAAAATTGGCTTGACGGCATTAAATAGCCGAATAAGCAGACCATCTTGCCGTTGGCACAGATACCCAGTTATTAAACATTACCACTTACAAAATACAAGGATTAGGGGAAAATTTGGCGAAAACATATGCACAAGTTTGAATATACGCTTTCTAGCAGAGCTATTGCCATTTCTGAGCAAGAGTTGCAACGGAAATTCGATGAGAAAATGGTGAGTTATACAAAGCAGCATAGTTAGAAAATATAATAATTTCATTATATTCAACTGTTTACTAGCACTTGGTTAATATAATATTTGCCGCGGCATTGTTGGAAGCGGTAACGCCGCGTTTTTATTCCAAAAGTATCGGTTGTTGCAAGAAATTCCCGGACGCAATAATATAACTGGTCTAAATACACTGCATCATGGCTGGGCGAGTTGGCAACGAAATTGCGAACGCATGGAAAGATATGCTGGAGAATAACCGGCGTGCCAAGCAAATGGTCTCAGTTTGTCAAAGAATTCGATGCGAAGAGATATCTAGCTCACGTTCAGTGCCGCTTAAGGGTTACGAGCAGGAACATTAACCAAAAGCAGCTTGGAAGTGCTGCAGACACATACGAAACAGTTTTCAAAACCGGCAGCACGCTAGCTTTAAACAATCCCATTAAATTTTTGGGTATTAGTGTGGCAGTTTGAAACAATACAAGTGGACAAAATAAATTGAGGAAATGTTTGCCAATATGGCAACTAAAAAGAAAAACGAAGCGACCATGCGTCGACAAAGCTAATGCAATCACCGATAAGAACACACAAGTTAACGTAGAACCTGCTGCACAAAAACCAACATTTATGCAAAATTTCTTGCAACGTGACGCTAAACAAATAACTCAACTATTCAAAGCTAATAACAGTAACAGTGAAGGATAGAAATTCAACAGTAAGCGATGCAGAGCAAACTGCTGTAATTTACAAGTATTACTGAAAATAACTCAAAGCCAACAAAGTACGCAGCTTCTTCTTAATGCTTTAAAGCAGCAGAAATCTAAGGAGAATACATGCACGTCAACTACCGCTATTGTTGCAGCTGAAAACAATATGCGCATCATATAATGTAGAAGAGCCAGAAGCTGATATTTCCAAAAGTTTCTTCGCAAAGTTCTTTGAAAAGTCGGATATACAAGCAAATAATATGACAAAAGTACACAAGAAACACGAATCAACGGCAAACATCGCAAACATAAGGCAACCTGCCAAGCAACAGTAATAATAGAAACCGTTTACTACAACAACAACAACAACAACCAATGTAATAGATTCATCGCTTGAACCAGAACAACCATTCACGAGGCAACGGCCATAACCAATGCTTAGCGACAACAGAAACCACTTACAATAAATGCAACAAACAAATAAACGCAAATAACCGTTTTGCTCGACAACACCTCGCCAACTCCTAAATCACTAAACATGAGTTACCAGTAACGGTGACGCGTACGCCTTCAACCAACTTATGAAAGCAAGTTAGCTGAATTTGCGGTGCCTGAATTGCGTCAGATTCATACAGATGACAAAATGGCTATTGCAAAGCTAATATACCAGGCGATGCACGTTCCATACATTGCATCAGGACCACCACTTAGCCATGCAGCTAGCCAACAAATACGTGACGAATATCGCACGGCGGTCAAAACTAAACTCATGCTAAAAGTCCACAGCAATTACAGCGTTTAAACAACAAAAAATCAAAAGTACCAGTGCAAGCAACAAAAGCCGCCAACAACAGCATAACCAAATTTCTAAAACCCAATTTGAGTACAACAACAACTGCCGCAAATGCAACTTCAGTTGTTGTCGAGTCAGCGCCTGCTGTTGTGGTAATAGATCTTCTAGATGCCTCTCTGCAGGATGCAGTGGTTTTGTGAAGAGTGTCACGTGTCCATAAGCCACAATGAGCTGCAAGCGCATAAGATTTTCATGTTGCCAAAGCTCTGCAACGTCAACTCAACATGTTGGAAGTGCGCACTGTGTCGGTGGCGAAAAGCCAATGCACTTAGTAATAATAATAGCTTGCATTTAAGTCCTGCGAGTGTTAAAAATGCGAAATCAATAACGCAATTCTTTCACAATCAAATTGTTAGTCAAATAAATATACATACCTACACACATACATACATACATAAGTGTTCCAAGTAAGCAGTATAAGTGTTCTAAGTAAGCAAGTAAATATCTATGAATTAAGGTCATCATAAGATTATCATATGCCGTGTGTGAGCCTTTCAAATACACACACTCATTTCATTTTACTACTATACTACCATACAAAAAGCATAAGGTAAGCGTGTTATTATTATTTCAATTTATTTTCTATTTCGCGTATTCAAGTTAAATTTTTGAGGTTAGGTTAGCACTTGCGGCTCCTGTTTCCCTACTGTATAAAATCAACCAATATGACAAAAATAAATATGAAAATCTAAAAATCCAATTTGCCTCAAAAATATTATATAACTTAATTAAATAAATTCAAAAATAAATCGAAATAACTGTTCAAGTTATACAAGCGATTTGCGAATGCGAAGGCTTCACTGTCAAAAATAAAATTACAAACAACAATACGTCAGCGCAACGTTCAATGCTTTTTTAAGGAAACAGCCTGCTGTGAAATTTTGAAAATATTTTTTTTTATTAAATATGTTTTTTTTTGCATATTTGATAGTCTATAGCTTCAAAAAGCCATACTCAAATTTTAAGCGATATCTCAAATAGTTTTGAGTTAACGCGTTCTCCTCGAAACAGCATTTTTCGAATTTGCTGCAATGATTATTCGTAAACAATGATCCAATCAGTATCCAATTTTTCTGAATGTCTGTATACGTTCTCTATACAATAGAGCTACCCGTTTTTTGATCTGATCAAAATTCGAATTTTAGCAAACCAAAAACGAACAAAATTTTGTGTAAAATTCAACTTTTTTTTCAAAACGCCCAATTTATCAATCTTTAATTTTCGAGCGTAGATTGATTCTATGGACAATATCTTCTGATAGAGAATTTTTTTAGGTTTATCCACGGAGTAGGCCGAAATCACTGCAGTAGTGAAATTTTAGCACCATCGGAGATCGCGTGAAACTCGAAAAATATTTAATATAATTTTCAAAATTTTTAAATATATATAAATATATCCCTGCAATTTTAAACAATTGAATACCTTATTATTTTTAATACTCAAAAATCAAGCGAGCTCTGCTCCTTTATCGTTGCGTCTTTCAAATGTTGCTGTAAACTGTTAATTAACAGCTGTGCTTTCTCTTTTCCTAAAATTCTCAAGTGCCAAGAAACATATTTAAACCAAGCTTTACATCTAGCGATTTTATTCCAAAGTTAAGTAGATCACTTTATCTTTTTCTTTAGCCCATACAAAGAAAATGAGATTAGTCGTTCTATACCTTCACTCGCTTAAGCAACTATTTTGGTCTGTAGGTTTGAGTTTTCGCATTTACCATCTGATCAAATTTGACTCGACTGTATATATATTTTTCCTAAACTGCTACCACCTTTTATGTTCCTGCGCAATTTGATCTACATATGTCAACTAGTGTTTGTTGCGAAAAGTTTGTCTCAACAACGAATTTGCTTGATAATTTGGGTTTCCAATGAAATCATGATACGGAATGGTTGAAAATATTGCAGAAGTCTTTTGGAGAGTCTATCACGAATGAGAGTTATCATGAACACAACTATTTGAGTGGCTCAAGGCGTTCAGTGAAAGTCATGAAGTCACCGAAAACTTGGCTCATGCGAGTCGTCCATCCACCTCTTTAATGACGATTCAAAAGTTAAAGAACAGTACTTGAACATCGTCGTGTTGGCATCAGAGAGCTAACAGAGGATCTCAAACGCCTCTATGCATCGACTCAACTATTTTGTTAATGTTTTGGGTATGAAGCTTGTCAGCGCTAGACTCGTACCAAAAGACCTGAATCATTTGCAAAAATGACGTCGTGTAGTAGTCGCAAGAGATATGCTTGAATGTAGCTGAAGACCCTATATTCATTCCCACATCATTACCAAATATCGATTTATAATATGGCATCGAAACTGTACAAATATTGAATGAATAGTGCGCCAAAATGAGCCAAAACCGAAGAAACAAAATTTGCATAAGGTGCTACCATAACCTTAACATACCATAACTGAAGCGAAAACTTAAAAATTTCTATAAGTTTTAAATTGCTTTAGCAAATAAGTTGCATTTTTTATTTTCATGTTGCTTGAAAATCACTTAGAAACTAAACTAACACTTGATGTTCAATTACTAAGTAAGTACTAGAACCACATCACAGTGCATTTGATTGACAAGATTTTCATTATTTCCTTAAAAATATCCAATTTTATATACTGGTTATGTTCAAGATCCGCTCAATCGATCGCTCGTTCTAATTGAAGTATTTGGTGTAGTATTCGTTGTAGAAGTTGTAGTCGAATTGACCGTAGTTCTTGTAGTTTTCGTAGTATTGCTTCAGTGTATCATTGTGGTAGATGCTCACATCCTTGAAGTAAATGTTGGGCACGAAGAATTGAGATAAATCGATTGGACGATCGAATGGATAGCCGAATGGTTTGTTATCAACGTAACGTTGTCCGGACACTATGCCAGAAAGTTGGTTAATATCAATGTTCGCGGGGTGTTCGACAGAGCCATCGTATGGTGTGATGAAAAATACGAACTGTACTGGCAAACCACTCTCCCAACCCTTAGGTAAGAGTAGACGATCTGGGAATCCTCTCTGTTGTTCACTAATTTCCAGAGGATATTCGTATTTGCCATCGAAAGCAGCCATCAGATAGTGATACAATTCAGTGTAGGTGGTGCGATCCTTAACAGTCCAGTAAAAGTCTTCAGATGAACGTTTGATGACATTTACACCAGCGGTTAGTTCATAGACGAATTCATCCAATTCAATGAAGTTCATGCGATTATCCTTTAGCGAGATAATACGTCCATATTCGTCAAATTTAGGTCCGTAAAAGGTGCGAAGGACAACCTTTTGTGCCTTATCAGATTCCACAGTGACATCGTAGTGGAATGGTTTGTGATTGAGACGCATTTGACGGGCGTACAACGATTTGTCCCACACGAATTTACCATCATCGAAGACCATTTTGTCGTTCAACAAGTTAGTAACATCAATATCAACCAAATCGAAATATGTGACCAATTCACTAACGCTGACATCCTTGACTTGAACTCCTTGAGCAACCAGTTCTTCTTGTGTGTATGGTGTGAAATGATAATTGAAACGGTAGAAGACATCGGCAACTTTCTTGTAGAAGCTGTACCACATTGGATCACGCATCATAGTTTCGAAGTTGAGGAAAACATTTGGATATATCTCAAAATCGTTGTAGTCCACATCAGCGAGATACATATGACTCAACATATTCCAATAGCTGAAGAAGAATCTATCGAAAGTATCAATATTCGATTGCATGTAACTTCCGATGAGCTCAATAGATTCGGGTTTGCGCATATCGATCTTGTGTCCATCAGCGGTGGTGTAGTAACCATAGTCTATGATATCATAGATACGCTTGAAGGCGCTTTGGATTTGGTTCAACATGTCGTATTTGCCATAAGATCTACGTTCGAAGTAGTTGCTGCGAGTGCTGAATCCAACACCGTTATAGGAAATCAATTCGGAATCATAACCATATTCGTAAGCGTGATCCCAGGAGAAATCGTCAATTTCACCGAAACCATGAGACAAACGTTCCAAATAGTAACGGTTCAAGATTTGGTCAACATTGTATAACCAAAACTCACCACGACGATCCTTATTCAAACCGAAAGTTTTACCATCCAAGAAGAAAGCATAATCCATGTTCAAGTAGTACCAATATGAGTTCCAACCCAAATCCTCAGTGAAGTATGACAATACAGAGTGTTCGTTGTATGAGACAATGTCACGTGTGTAATCAACCGGATGCCAGAACATGTTGATATTCTTCATTAATGACACATATATATCGTCAGAAACAGGTTCATAAGAGTTTTCACGCAGAGGCAAGCTCCTCTCGGCGGCATACCACTGTTCATCCAAACCCATAAGTCTCCACCATTGGTATGTCTTGAAATCCTTGATATAGAAATAGCCCTGGTTGTAATATTGGTGGTTCTTGTGGTAGACATCGTTCAATTCCTTTTCGTATTGACTGTATTTGCTCCAGGTGTTGTAATCGAATTTCTCAGCTTGATAAATCAATTTGCTGTTGAGGAAATATTGTGGGAAGATTTCGTAGATGGATGGCAACATCAAACCCTTGAAATCATCGCGATGGATGACAGCCAAAGTCAAAGCATAGACGAACATGCCTTCGTTGACATGGATGCGAGCCCATGCGACGTTGGCTTGGAACGTTTCCCAATCCTTGGCGTAGTAGAAGAAGTTGAATAAACCGTAAGCTTGCTTGTGGTGAGTCTTAACGAGTGCACCAAAGAATTCACCTCTGGGCAAGAGTGCGCCCATTTTATAGGACTCGTAGAACATCTCCATATATTGATCAAAGTGCTAGAAACCCAAGGTGTATATATAATATTAGTTTCATATTGGGGATACATATGACTCAACATATTCCATGTAACAACAATTCATTGAAACTTACGGTGTAAAGTGCCTTGTCGTAGACCAAAGTGTGACCCATCTTAATGTACTCCTCGAACATCAGTGGATCCTCCACGCGGTAAACGATTTCGAAGAGGAACTTCTGTTTCTCCAAGAAAACATGATCGGCGGTGGTAACCCTGTTGGTCGGAGAAACGCTAGCGGCGGCTACTAGGCCAACGAGGGCCAAAAGAACGATAGTTAACTTCATTGCGACAACTGCTCCGGATTAGATACTTAGCTCCAATGCCTAAAGACTGTTGATTTCAGAAGCATAGACCACAGCTTTTATACCGAAATTTTCTTTGAACTTCTATTGTTTGCATTACTTAGGGTCAAAATTTAATGATTGCATTTCGGTGATATGCTATTTGCTAAAAATAAATTATACTCATCTTATATGTTCTAAGTGTTAGTTTGGTTGTATGTTAAAGAAATTGGTGTAGGCATAGATCGAAATTAATTATATGTATATTCTTATAAAATTGCATTGAAACCGAAAAAAAATTATTATGTTGATAACGGATGTGAAGCCTCACACCAACAACAAACAAAGTAATAAAAACCTGTCTTTTAATTTAATGCTTCACGTAGGCAGTCATTTACTTATTCGAGATAAGCTATATGCAGACACTTTGATTATATATTTGCATATGCGCAGAACATATTTATTATACAGTATCTCATATACTGGTCAAGGATATTTTCGGGTCAGTGTAAATTAAGGACTCGTGGACAGTTTCATAGTTTTCCTGTTGCATTTATAGAGCTGAAGAACGAAACTGTAAAGTAAATTTGGTATTCGAAGCTAGATACCACTACGAAAAATATGCTTCTTCTCTCAGAATATTATTAAGAAGTCCTTGGAAGTATTATATTGGTAGCGATCTAACCAGACTTTACTGGGTGTTATAGTGGAGGATAACATTTTCCAAATAATTTTGAGTAATATTGGCGAGTTAATAATTTTTGGTTGGAAGAAAATCTCAACCCATCCCGATTACTTCTACCGAAATATCGCTGGAACAGACTTTACAGTCCTTAACACCAACGACAGAAGAAGCACGCTTACTGTTGGGTCTATACCCAATTCGTGTGTTTTTTTCAAAGTTTAAAAATGTATTAAAAAAAGCATGTACAATAGTGCTATTCAAAGTATTGTTTATCTGAAGCTAAAGCGTTTTCCCATCTTTCTGTCAATTTCCATCAATCGAGCCAATTTTCGATACTCTGTCCTGTTGTAAACCCTATTCCAGTGAGGCTGCTTTGCATCGGAACAAGTGATGGTCAGAAAGGACAAGATCTGTGATATAAGGCAGGATATTTAAAACTAAAGTAAACTAAGCCACTGTTTTCCAAATACTTCTTAACCGGACTTGCAATATGAGACCGAATGAAAAATTGTTATCTCGTGTCTGGTCGCAAATTCCGGTTTTTTTTCGACAATTGCTCGCTAAATTTGACGAATTGTTGTTGATAGCGTTCTCCATTAATGACTTCATACGGTTTTAGAAGTTCATACAACAATGCAGCACACCCTTCTGATCCCATCAAACGCTGAACATTATCTTGGTGTCAGGAATATTCGGTTTTGTTGTTGATTTGGCTGGTTCACCAGGTTTCACTTATGATTTTTTGAAGCAGCCTAACTGAATACACTATTTTAGTACACCTTTGTATCTATAGTTCGAATTAATATATATTCATTATTACACCTATGACTTTCATTTGGGTTTCGAAAGTGGTCGAAAGTGCTAATCAGCCTAAATTTAGAGATAATGGCTATCTTTTGGTGAATAATAGGATTATTCTGAATTCCGACAAAGTGGCATGAACAAAACATATTAATGTGAATTCGACATTATATCTTCGATTCTCTATCATCAGCAACTCTTAAATGAGGACTCAGTTTATCAACCATCATGATATCTTCTAAGTCTAGATGAGCAAGGCTTAGTAGCAGAAAATTGTTGGAAATTTTCTCTGAATTAACTACTTTTTTCGACGAGTTCCAGGAGCATACTTTTCTAAACAATTTCAATGTTTGTTATCTCTAAAAGGGCTTAGATCAAACCCAAAAAGTACATGTTGCCTTAGGTCATAAAACATTTTATTGTAAATAATTTAAGGCAGTTGCATGTGTTCTACTATCTAAATGCTCATTATGCAGTTCCCTTATGTTTCTATCGGTTAAGAAATAGTTTTCTGCTATATGTGAATCCAGATTTTCTTCTGTACCCGGTTTAGAGCTAAGATCTAAGTTCTTTCACAAGGTGCGTTCCAAAGTAAACAGTAAAAAAGTAACAAAGTAAACTCTAGTGGCGCCATCTATATGTCGACTAGTGCGTTAGAATCTGCTATCCTTTATCGACTTCCAGTAAAAATTTCATGACATTTAATCTATTGGAAGTGAAGTTATTGCGTTTTAAGTGTCAGTATGTTTTTGTCATCGGTGCGAAAATGAGCTTCGAACAAAGAGCCAACATTAAATTTTGTTTTAAAATTGGTAAAACTTTTACCGAAACGTTTCAATTGATGAAACAAGTTTATAGCGATAATTGCTTATCCCGTAGCCATATTCACGTGGTTTAAACGTTTTCAAAGTGGTCGTGAGGACATAAATGAGAAATGAGCCGAAACCCGAAAAATCGCGCCTGGAGAAGTCAAAAGTAAAGACAACGCTGATTTATTTTTATGATTCCAAGGGTATTATCCACAAAGAATTTGTTCCACCCGGCCAAAACGTTAATGCGGTATTCTACCTTGGAGTTTTGAAGCATTTGGTGCGCCGTGTTCGGCCCGAATATCTCGCAGATGGAAGTTGGCGTTTGCTGCACGAAAATGCGCCGTCTCATCGATCGACGCTTGTGGCCGATTATTTGACCAAAAATCACATTTTAACAATCAACCACTCCCCGTATTCACCTGATATGGCACCGTGCGACTTCTACCTTTTCGGAAAAATGCATTTGCCGATGAAAGGAAAGCGTTATGCAGACGTGGAGGCCATTCAAAAGGCTTGCACTGGCATACTGGCGGCCATACCGGGCAACGAGCTAAAACACTCCTTCGACATGCTTTTGGACCATGCAAAAAGCTGTATTAAAGCAGAAGGAGACTATTTTGAATAAAATTAATTGATTTTGCCGATAAAACCATTTGTATTTTTTTAAAAGTCCTGTTTACTTTGGAACGCTCCTTGTATGTCATGATTACCTATGATTTTTTTTTATATGCGTAGGTTTCCTGCTATTATATACAGGGAGCAAAGCAAGACGAAATCGAAAACGGAGTGAACTCTATTCTTATTTATCAGCTTAGTATTGTGTATTTAAATATAGACGGTACTTCATCGTTTCCGGTCAATACCAAATAATTAAGTTAAACTTTCTATCCTATTCATAGTATTAAAAGCCGAAGTGTTGTGTGCCTTACCGCTTGTTTGGTTAGCTTATAATGCGGTTCTATATATCACTGATCATTTGTTGAAGCTATGCTTTATAGAGTATCTATATTATATATAGAGAGAGTCTAGAGTTCTTATCTTAAAGAAACAATTGTTATGTCGGAGTCAAATTACTGGGTCAAATTTCTTTCATGACAGATAACCAAATTCTTAAATAGTTCATACAGAAAGTCTATCATATCGTCCCTTACGTGGATTTTCGTCCTTTTGTTTTTTATATAACAGCTACATAAATTATTCTACAATATACAATAAATTAGGTATTGTCGTCGAAGTTATCTAACAAGACGTTGAGGAAATGAGCTGTGACGACAGAATCGGACCAACTAAAAATGTATATATATAATTTGGTTTGGAACCCTGTACATAACATATGGTATGTTGGAGTCAAATAGGTGTGTGTTTAACCTGCTACAGTATACAGTCCTTTGCTGAGCAATGGTTTTGCGAGTCTCAAATGAAAACTGTAGCTCTGGATTCGAAAGATGGTTCTACGTTACCGAAATTTACCGAGGTTTTATTCGACTAAAGTTAGTAATTTCCGCAATATAACGCTGTATTTTCGTTCTCTGTAACGTTTCTTTCCTTAATTGCTGAATCTCAAACATTGAGATCAGTCACAAAGGGGTTTGGTTTTAGAGACAGCTTCTAAAGTTTTTGTAAACTGGATTCATTCATCATCATAACACTACTACTTTTCAGAATCATAAAAATTACTTGTCGTCAGAATCATAAAAATTACTGTAAAAATATGTAACAAGTTTCGAGTTTAATTTTTTTTAATTTCTTTAGCAATTATTTGCTTATTTTTTATTTTATTGCCTTGCTTGATTACATTCTATAAAACTAGGTAAACACTTTTTGATCATTAACAATTAAACAATGGAACATCACCTCAATCTGAGATGTGTTCTTTATATAACGATTAATAATCTGAAAATCGGCGATATTTAAGTCCACAGCCAGCTTGAGCACTTGATTTAATGGAAGTATTTGGTGTAGTATTCGTTGTAGAAGTTGTAGTCGAATTTTCCGTAGTTCTTGTAGTTTTCGTAGTATTGCTTCAGTGTGTCATTGTGATAGATGCTCACATCCTTGAAGTAAATGTTGGGCACGAAGAATTGAGATAAATCGATGGGACGATCAAATGGATAGCCGAATGGTTTGTTATCAATGTGACGTGCACCGGAACCAATGCCGCAGTAATAGGTGTAATCAAAGTTAGCATACTGTTCGACAGAGCCATCGTATGGAGCAATGAAGAAGACGAACTGTAATGGCAAACCACTCTCCCAACCCTTAGGTAAGAGTAGACGATCTGGGAAGCCACAGTGTGGTTCGCTAATGTCCAAAGGTAATTCGTATTTGCCATCGAAGGCAGCCATCACATAGTGATACAATTCAGTGTAGGTGGTGCGATCCTTAACAGTCCAGTAAAAGTCTTCAGATGAACGTTTGATGACATTTACACCAGCTGCTAGTTCATAGACGAATTCATCCAATTCAATGAAGTTCATGCGATTATCCTTGAGCGAGATAATACGTCCATATTCGTCAAATTTAGGTCCGTAGAAGGTGCGAAGGACAACCCTTTGTGCCTTATCAGATTCCACAGTGACATCGTAGTGGAATGGTTTGTGATTGAGACGCATTTGACGAGCGTACAAAGATTTGTCCCACACGAATTTACCATCATCGAAGACCATTTTGTCGTTCAACAAGTTAGTAACATCAATATCAACCAAATCGAAATATGTGACCAATTCACTAACGCTGACATCCTTGACTTGAACTCCTTGAGCAACCAGTTCTTCTTGTGTGTATGGTGTGAAATGATAATTGAAACGGTAGAAGACATCGGCAACTTTCTTGTAGAAGCTGTACCACATTGGATCACGCATCATAGTTTCGAAGTTGAGGAAAACATTTGGATATACCTCAAAATCGTTGTAGTCCACATCAGCGAGATACATATGACTCAACATATTCCAATATGTGAAGAATCTATCGAAAGTATCAATATTCGATTGCATGTAACTCCGATGGCTCATATATTCGGGTTTGCGCATATCGATCTTGTGTCCATCAGCGGTGGTGTAGTAACCATAGTCTATGATATCATAGATACGCTTGAAGGCGCTTTGGATTTGGTTCAACATGTCGTATTTGCCATAAGATCTACGTTCGAAGTAGTTGCTGCGAGTGCTGAATCCAACACCGTTATAGGAAATCAATTCGGAATCATAACCATATTCGTAAGCGTGATCCAGGAGAAATCGTCAATTTCACCGAAACCATGAGACAAACGTTCCAAATAGTAACGGTTCAAGATTTGGTCAACATTGTATATACCAAAACTCACCACGACGATCCTATTTAAACCGAAAGTTTTACCATCCAAGAAAAGCATAATCCATGTTCAGTAGTACCAATATGAGTTCCACCCAAATCCTCAGTGAAGTATGACAATACAGAGTGTTCGTTGTAGTAGTCAATATCGATTTGTAATCAACGGGATGCCAATATGATATTCTTCATGAATGAGACATATTTATCGTCAGAAACAAATTCGTAAGAGTTTTCACGAAGAGGGAACTCCTCTCGGCAGCGTACCACTGTCATCCAAACCCATAAGTCTCCACCATTGGATGTTTTGAAATCATTGACATAGAAATAGCCCTGGTTGTAATATTGGTGGTTCTTGTGGTGACACATCGTTCAATTCCTTTTCGTATTGAGTGTATTTACTCCAGGTGTTGTAATCGAATTTCTCAGCTTGATAAATCAATTTGCTGTTGAGAATATTGTGGGAAGATTTCGTAGATGGATGGCAACATCAAACCCTGAAATCATCGCGATGGATGACAGCCAAAGTCAAAGCATAGACGAACATGCCTTCGTTGACATGGATGCGAGCCCATGCGACGTTGGCGAACTTTCCCAATCCTTGGCGTAGTAGAAGAAGTTGAATAAACCGTAAGCTTGCTTGTGGTGAGTCTTAACGAGTGCACCAAAGAATTCACCTCTGGGCAAGAGTGCGCCCATTTATAAGTTAGTAGCATCTCCATATATTGATCAAAGTGCTAGAAAGCAGGTATATATGTATAATATAGTTTCATGATGGGGAGACGTAAAGCGACAATTAATTGAAACTTACGGTGTAAAGTGCCTTGTCGTAGACCAAAGTGTGACCCATCTTGATGTACTCCTCGAACATCAGTGGATCCTCCACGCGGTAAACGATTTCGAAGAGGAACTTCTGTTTCTCCAAGAAAGCATGATCGGCTACGTAACCTTGGTGGGCGAAGAAACGCTAGTGGCGGCCACTAGGCCACGAGGGCCAATAGAACGATAGTTAACTTCTGCTACAACTGCTCCGGATTAGATACTCAGCTCCAATGCCTAAAGACTGTTGATGTTTCGACAACTTGGCAGCCTTTATACCAATTCACTTATCATGCTAAAGTTCTTGTATTGTCTGTTCTTGTATATTTCCATTGCAATTCTACTTGACCTTTTATGACCGTGATAGTGATCTAACACGTCGCATATAAAATATTATTCATATGTATTTTGAAGTTGATAAAAATATGTTTAGGCTTAAGCTAATTTTCTCTGCTAAGTTCTATACTGCGAGTACACTTATCGGATGTTTAGAAATTTGTTGATGCAGTTTTTGATTGTTTGACATTATAATCTTTCTCTACTACCAGAACAATGAAAACAATCCTCATCGTTTTTATTATAACGCTTTATTTTATTTTTATTAGCTTAATATTTTATGTGTAGGTGATCCATGTGTTAAAGCAATCGTTTGGGGTTTATAGCAGACTTTTTCCACCGCTTTTGAGGTTTGCGGTAGAAATCATAGAATCAGTCTTCTGGTCTGAATAATCGAACGCACTCATTACTATATTACATTAATGTTTTCGGACAATCAATAAGCGTTTAGTTCCATCAGATGGATATTGGTGCTTTGGCTTGAAGTCTGGATGGCTTCAAGAGTGATGGACTTTTCGTCTTGTGGTTCGTCGTGTTTCCTTATTCTCGTCAGAGGTAATTTCTTCACAAACGTCAGTTTCTGAAGCGGATCTGTTTGTTCAGAACTATCACATTAAATCGCTGCCAGCACCGAAAATACTTGCATTATTGTGAAAAGCATGATGCTTTGTGCTTTTTCGTATCGAGCATACCATTTTCTCTCAATAATACAAGTATTTTCGGTCAATATTACTATCGGTTAATATTAAGAATTATTTTCACGTTTAGTTTGAAGTTCTTTAAAGCATGTTTTACTTTATTTATTTTAAATTTTTCCGTGGCTTAAGTCATGCAAATTTAGGGGTCACTTAGATCCGGAACATTTGAACCAATTCATGTGTGGAATAAATATAACTCACAGCAATATTTCATTACAGTTGAACCAAAAAAAAAAAAATTATAAACAAAATTAATTTCCGAACAGATGTGCAAAATCATATTAGTTTCATCTCCACAGATATGTACACATGTATATACAATACAGCATCTGTTATCAGTAATTCGGGATACTTGAAATGGAGCTTAACTCAATTGTTGGTTCATTAAAAGTACAAAATGATTGTATTTATCAGTGTCTTTGAACAATTTCCGATTTTAAGCACCTGTTCATGTAGCGCTTAGTTGCTGTGGTCAGAAGTTGAATATTTTTTTTTAATTGTATATATATATGTATAATATGTACATATATGCATATTATTACGAAAAGAAAACATATAAAATATTTGAAAACGTGTCTTTAATTCGCCAATAAAAATAAATACACATATATAGTAAGAGGTAGAAAGAGGAACATAGGTAAATTGACTCAGCTGTTTGCTTTATATTTGTATATATACTTTGTAGGATCTCCGACGAACTTCGCGGCAAACTGCTCTACAATAATTACGATTTATCGACGTACGAGTACGTTAAAATTGTGTAACATAATATTTTCAAAAACGAAGTTCATCCAGAATATCAGTCCACATATACGTGATCAGTCTTCAGATAAAATGATTAATCCATAATTTTTTTTAATTGGTTCATATCTGTATAACTAAGCCACTATTAAATATGTACAGTATAACATAGAATTCACATCTTTCCAAGGAATATGTATGTATATACAAAGAGAAATCAACTTCAACTGCTATATGCAAATAAACCGAAGTCATACACATTTCCATAAGTTTTGAATTGCCCTAGCATTTGCTTTGCAATTGCTTTTATTCAACACAAACTAAACTAACACTTGATTTTCAATTACTAAGTAAGTACTAGAACCACATCACAGCGCATTTGATTGACAAGATTTTCATTATTTCCTTAAAAATATCCAATTTTATATATTGGTTATGTTTAAGATCGCCTGATTTGATTGCTCGTTCTAATTGAAGTATTTGGTGTAGTATTCGCTGTAGAAGTTGTGGTCGAATTGACCATAGTTGTTGTAGTTCTCGTAGTATTGCTTCAGTGTGTCATAATGGTAGATGTTCACATCCTTGAAGTAAATGTTGGGCACGAAGAATTCGAATTCATCGACGGAACGATCAAATGGATAGCCGTATGGTTTGTTATCAACGAAATGTGGTCCGGAAGCAATGCCAGAAAAGTGGTTAATATCAATGTTCGAGGGGTGTTCGACAGAGCCATCGTATGGAGTAATGAAAAATACGAACTGTACTGGCAATCCACACTCCTTACCCTTAGGTAAGAGCAGACGATCTGGGAATCCACCGTGGGATTCACTAATGTTCAAAGGCAATTCGTATTACCATCCGAATCACATATTGATACAATTCGGTGTACGTAGTGCGATCCTTAACAGTCCAGTAAAATCTTCAGATGAACGTTTGATGACATTTACACAGCCGTTATTCATAGACGAATTCATCCAATTCAAGAATTCATGCGATTATCCTTTACGTTAATACGTCCATATTCGTCAAATTTGGGTCAGAAAGGTGCGAAGGACAACCTTTTGCCTTATCAGATTCACAGATGACATCGTAGGAATGGTTTGTGTGAGACGCATTTGACGGGCGTACAAGATTTGTCCCACACGAATTACCATCATCGAAGACCATTTTGTCTTCAACAAGTTAGTAACATCAATAAACAAAATCGAAATAGGTGACCAATTCACTAACGCTGACATCCGCTTGAACTCGCGAGCACAGTTCTTCTTGTGTGTGATTGTGAAATGATATGAAACGGGAGAACACTCGGAATTTTCTTGAGAAGCTGTACCACATTGGATCCGCATCATAGTTTCGAAGTTGAGGAAAACTTTGGATGTACCTCAGAATCGTGGTCCACATCAGCGAGATACATATGACTCAACATATTCCAATAGCTGAAGAAGAATTATCAAAGTATCATATTCGATTGCATGTAACTTCCGATGAGCTCAATAGATTCGGTTTCGCATATCGATCTTGTGTCCATCAGCGGTGGTGTAGTAACCATAGTCTATGATATCATAGATACGCTTGAAGGCGCTTTGGATTTGGTTCAACATGTCGTATTTGCCATGAGATTTACGTTCGAAGTAGTTGCAGCGACGGCTGAATCCAACCGTTATATGAATTGTTCGGATCATAACCATGTTCAGGCGATTCCAGGAGAAGTCGTCAATTTCACCGAAACCATGAGACAAACGTTCGAAATATAACGTCTCAATTTGGTCACATTGTAAACCACCATTCACCACGACGATCTTTATTCAAACCCAAGTTTTGGCCATCCAAGAAGAGCATAATCCATGTTCAAGTAGTACCATAAGTTCCACAAATCCTCGAGTGAAGTATGACAATACAGAGTGTTCGTTGTATGAGAACATGTCACGGTGAATCAACCGATGCCAGAACATGTTGATATTCTTCTGCACACATATATATCGTCAGAAACAGGTTCAAAGTTTTCACGCAAGCTCCTCTCGGCGGCATACCTGTTCATCCAAACCCATAAGTCTCACCATTGGTATGTTTGAAATCTTTATATAGAAATACCCTGGTTTAATATTGGTGCTTGGTAGACATCGTTCAATTCCTTTTCGTATTGACTGTATTTGCTCCAGGTGTTGTAATCATTCTCAGCTTGATAAATCATTGCTGTTGAGGAAATTGTGGGAAGATTTCGTAGATGGATGTGGCAACATCAAACCCTTGAAATCATCGCGATGGATGACACCAAAGTCAGACATAGCGAACATGCCTTCGTTGACGGGATGCGGCCATGCGACGTTGGCTTGGAACGTTTCCCAATCCTTGGCTAGTAGAAGTTGAATAGACCGTAAGCTTGTTTGTGGTGAGTCTTAACAGTGCGAGTCACACCTCTGGGCAAGAGCGCGCCCATTCTATAGGATTCGTAGAACATCTCCATATATTGATCAAAGTGCTAGAAATGCAGAGTGTGTAGAAATGTATAATATTAGTTTCATGATGGGGAGACGTAAATCGACAATTAATTGAAACTTACGGTGTAAAGTGCCTTGTCGTAGACCAAATTGTGACCCATCTTGATGTACTCCTCAAACATCATTGGATCCGCCACGCGGTAAACGATTTCGAAGAGGAACTTTTGTTTCTCTAAGAAAGCATTATCGGCGGTGGTAAGCATGTTGGGTGAAGAAACGCCGGTGGGAGCCACTAGGCCAATAAAGGCCAGTAGAACGATGGCTGTCTTCATTGCTACAAAAGCTTCGGAGTAGATATTCAGCTCCTTGCTCTAAGACTGTTGATATCAGAAGCATTGACTATCGAAATTTTCTATTTGATGACTCCATTTTGGTGATATGCTATTTGCTAAAAATAAATTAAAAAATTAATCTGATATGCCTTATATCTTTTTTTTCCTGTTTGTTTGTGCAGTGGTTGACCTTATTTTATATTCGAGCATTATTTATTTTTGTAAGTGATTAATTACAAAAATTGGAATGCTTTGAATTTATTTATTTTATTGTGAGGAAAGTGAAACACCACAAATATTTGAGCTGGCTGGATTTTTCTCATTATGGAAGGTAATAAGGTGAACAGACATATGTGCACACATTTTTGTCGCGTCATTTGTTTAAGCGCAGCTGCTATTTATTTAAAAAATTGAGGTTGGTTTTGTGAAATTTCAAAATTTTATGAGTATCTAAAATTTTTTAAAGTAATTTTTTTTTTACATTATAAATTGAAAATAAGACAAAGCAATTGGAATTTGCCCGAAGATAAATGACCTGGAGTGTAGTATGGCGTAATTTAATTATTTTTGGTAAAAAAAGGTATTTCAATGACCCGGACGGTTACAGCTGTTTTTGGGATGATCTAAGCAAATATGACATAGTAAGTACGAAGCGAATTTTGGAGGAGGAGTTTTCGTATTTTGGAGCATACATCGAATAGAGACACTTTGTTCTTGGTGTGTTAAACTATGTCGGTTATATGGATTTATATATCAGATATGTTAATAAAATTAATAAAATGACGTTGATAGTAAAGTATTCTGAAGAAAGTATAAGGACTGCGCTATGATTCCAAAAATAATTTTTTTCTAGTTGGAAATTAAAAATATCATATAAGCTAAATTTTTTAAGCAAGGACTTACATATATGTATATCTTTATACAGTCAGTTACGATGGGTAGACGCCAGGATCGGATACCATGCGCTGATGGTATGTGGCTAAGACTCTATATAGATTTGCTAAAAAATTAAGCACAAATTTTAATGACAGTAATATTGGCTACATTGTCTCGGATATAGCGTTTGAGTGAATTGTATATCTTTAGCTCCGAAAATATTCATTGTAGCACCATATAGTGTAGGAAGAAGCTTAGGGACAAAGTAGAAGCTTTAGGGACCGCATATGTATAGTGAACAAGTAAGCGAGGACTATATTTCAGAAAAGAAGGAATTTTATACAGATAACTAAAAATTTCGATATATTCAGCATTCCACTAGAATAATGATACTCATTATATTCAGTAGAAGGGGTTGGGCCAATTTGTGTATCGATTTCATCCATTTTTGCTACCAATATACTATAGACCACCGAATTCATTATATTATGGTAGGTGCATTGGGGCTAGGAGAAGTATGGAGCGATTTTATTAATTTTTAGCATCAGCGTACTTAATTACCAAAAAATGATACTCTATGACTTACATTAAGATATCTATTTGGTGAGTGACTGTTATCGTTGAGGTGATATCTGGGGGCTAGAAAAGTTATGGTCCATAGTCGTTCAAGAGATATGGGAACTCACCTCAGAGTACGCGGTATCACATACTTCTTAACCTTTGTGAGGTGATCGGGTTATTAGACGATTTCAGCCATTTTCACACTATATAAGATCATCACATCTACTAAAAACTTTGTGTAAGTAAGCAAAATATTCATTACAATGGTGGTTTTATTACCGACTCATGAAGATCAGATGTTGTAAGCATATATGTATAGTACATATCTCGAAGAAACTTTGACTTTTCTTTAAATACTATAATTGAAAGACATTTTATTTTTATATTTGCATCGCTATAGAAATTGATTGCATTAACTTTTATTACATTTACGTTTGCTTGACTAACAATTAACTAAAAACCCACATACTAGGTATAAATAAGAAATTAATACCCAATATCTTTATTCCACAGCCAGCTCGATTTAGTTGAAGTATTTGGTGTAGTACTCGTTGTAAAAGTTGTAGTCGAATTGGCCGTAGTTGTTGTAGTTTTCATAGTATTGTCTTAGTGTGTCATTGTGATAGATGCTCACATCCTTGAAGTAAATGTTGGGCACGAAGAATTGGGATTCATCGATGGGACGATCGAATGGATAGCCGAATGGTTTGTTATCAGTGTAACGTAGTCCGGAACCAATGCCAGATAGGTAGTTAACATCAATGTTCGAGGGGTGTTCGACAGAGCCATCGTATGGAGTAATGANAAATACGAACTGTACTGGCAATCCACACTCCTTACCCTTAGGTAAGAGCAGACGATCTGGGAATCCACCGTGGGATTCACTAATGTTCAAAGGCAATTCGTATTTACCATCCACAGCAGCCATCACATATTGATACAATTCAGTGTACGTAGTGCGATCCTTAACAGTCCAGTAAAAGTCTTCAGATGAACGTTTGATGACATTTACACCAGCGGTTAGTTCATAGACGAATTCATCCAATTCAATGAAGTTCATGCGATTATCCTTGAGCGAGATAATACGTCCATATTCGTCAAATTTAGGTCCGTAGAAGGTGCGAAGGACAACCCTTTGTGCCTTATCAGATTCCACAGTGACATCGTAGTGGAATGGTTTGTGATTGAGACGCATTTGACGAGCGTACAAAGATTTGTCCCACACGAATTTACCATCATCGAAGACCATTTTGTCGTTCAACAAGTTAGAAACATCAATATCAACCAAATCGAAATAAGTGACCAATTAACACCGCTGACATCTCGATCAACTCCTTGAGCAAACAGTTCTGTGGCGGTGAAATGACACCAAACGGTAGAAGACATCAGCAACTTTCTTGTAGAAGTTGCACCACATTGATCACGCATCATAGTTTCAGTTGAGGAAACATTTGGATAGCCCCAAAATTCCGTTGTAGTCCACATCAGCGAGATACACACTTAGCCATTCCAATAGCCAGCAGCGAATCTATCGCAGCACAATATTCGATTGCAAAATCTCCATATTCAATAGATTCGGGTTTGCGCATTATCGATCTCAGTCCATCAGCGGTGGTGGGCAACCATAGCCCGATATCATAGATACGCTTAACCACTTGATTTGGTTCAATATGTCGTATTTGCCATAAGACTACGTCTGAAGTAGCGTTGCGAGTGCTGAATCCAACACCGTTATAGGAAATCACCTGAACATAAATCCATATTCGTAAGCGTGATCCCAGGAGAAATCGTGTCACCTTCACTGGAAACCATGAGACAAATGTTCCAAATAGTAATGTCGGTTCAAAATCTGAGCAACATGTATAACCAAAGTTCACCACGACGATCCTTATTCAAACCGAAAGCCACTGTCCGCTGAAGAAAGTATAACCATGTTCGGGTAGTACCAATATGAGTTCCAACCAACCAGTGGCGCGGATAATATAGAAAGTTCGTTGTAGTAGTCAATGTCACGGGTAATCAACGGACGCCAGAACATGTTGATATTCTTCATGAATGAGACATATAATCGTCGAAACAAATTCATAAGAGTTTTCACGAAGAGGCAAGCCTCTCGGCGGCATACCACCGTTCATCCAAACTCATAAGTCTCATTGCAGGTATGTCTGAAATCCTTGATATAGAAATAGCCCTAAGGTAATATTGCGGTTTGTGGCAGACATCGTTCACCTTTGTATTGAGTGTATTACCCAGGTGTTGACCGAATTTCAGCTTGATAAATTAATTTGTTGAGGAAATATTGTGGAAGATTTTCAGATGGATGGCAACATCAGACCCTTTGAAATATCGCGATGGATGATGGAACAAAGTCAGCATAGATGAACATGCTTGAGTTGACATGGATGCGAGCCCATGCAACGTTGGCTTGGAACGTTTCCCAATCCTTGGCGTAGTAGAAGAAGTTGAATAGACCGTAAGCTTGTTTGTGGTGAGTCTTAACGAGTGCACCAAAGAATTCACCTCTGGGCAAGAGCGCGCCCATTTTATAGGATTCGTAGAACATCTCCATATATTGATCAAAGTGCTAGAAATGCAGAGTGTGTATATATGTATAATATTAGTTTCATGATGGGGAGACGTAAATCGACAATTAATTGAAACTTACGGTGTAAAGTGCCTTGTCGTAGACCAAATTGTGACCCATCTTGATGTACTCCTCGAACATCAGTGGATCCTCCACGCGGTAAACGATTTCGAAGAGGAACTTCTGTTTCAACATCGATAATCCAAACAGCAGCACATTTAATTTAGAGAATGNGCTAGCGGCGGCTACTAGGCCAACGAGGGCCAAAAGAACGATAGTTAACTTCATTGCGACAACTGCTCCGGATTAGATACTTAGCTCCAATGCCTAAAGACTGTTAATGTTTCGACAATGTAGAGGCCTTTATATACAAGTGTTCTTATCAGTAGGCGAGCAGTTCTTGTCTATCGTACAGCTAAAGAAGTGAGATTCTGCGTGACCTTTCTGACCATGCCAGTACCCTGCTTTATTGAAAACAATTCATGTGTTGTTTTAATGTTTTGTTTCTTTCACTAAGTTGAGAGCATATGTTGCATATATTTGGTGTGATAATATTATCAGAGCTCACTTATTCAATGCTATGGTCGGCTACCGTTTATATGTTTGTGGTTCATTCTGGAACAGATGTGCTAGAAATCGTATTTATTTAAAACTCAAACACATTCACAAACATATGCAATTAAAAATTATTGTGCTAATTGGTGTTGAGTCCATGCCTTATCAGTTATACATAGGTGTCTTGGAAAACTACCCACTTTCAATCAAGGCTCCATAAGTCTTCAGAAATTATTCAGACCATTTTTGTTTTTATTTGCTTGTTTTGAAGATTTTTATTAGCAATGAGATATATTATTAATTAATTGTTGCTCTAAAGGTTTGTTCTTCTATAGTTAGCTAACATAACTGATCGGAAGGAGTTTTATAATAGTGGTTGTTAGAACTCCACAGATGTAAATATGTATATGTGTCCTTATTTTTACCGTTTGTTCCTATTTTGAAATTGAGTTTTTATTGATGTATTTCCAGAAAGCAGAATCATTTTAATACGGATACGTAAGAATTTTTTATCATTTTTTTTAAGATAAATGACAAAGTAATGCTAAAACATAATATTTCTTTTTTTTTGAAACTTAAGATCCAAAAGCACTAATAATTTTTCACTGAAAATAAAACTGGTAACTAAACCTTTTTTTGTCGAAGAAAGAAAAGTTCTTCATCAAAGAAAGAAGCGCAAAACAATTGCGCTTGCATCAGAATACGTGTTCGATTCGCTACTCTCTAACGCTTAGCTAATAGAAGACAACGAATGATTATTATTGTCAAGCTCTAATTGCTCCCAGATATAATAAGATGATAAGGAGTGGACACAGTTATAAAATCTCTACTTTTGAAGGAGATTCAGACTGTGTTCATTTTCTTTTTTTTCTAATTTTTTTTTAAAACATATCAATGGACTCAAAACAGACTGTGTAATACAATAAATTACCTTTATTATCTAATTTGCATATGCTTCAAAACCGATATCAGGTCAACTAAAGCTCGGGTATACCGCGCTAGGATTAAGAATTTAGCTCTGGAATAATTTTTAGGTTTCTTTTTTCACACCACCAAATAGCTTGAGCGGCAAAATCGGCGGAGCGACTATTGGCTGTAAGAGAATTTACACTAGAACCTTCGGGCATAGCTTGGTGGGTATTAGCGATTTGACAAGCACCCGCTATATAATAAACCCTTTTCGCTTGGGGAAGAAGGTTAGAGTAAACATACGAAAAGATGGTTTGTGTAAAGGCATGTTAACTGCGCGCAAACGCCGAGTTAGCCTCTAATGAATCAGCAGACAACTCCAGAGTCAATATCTACGTGGACAGCCAAGCAGCAATCAAGCTTTTAACCTCATTTCGGCCAGAAGTGTCTCGGAAAGCAGAGCACTAGTAGAGGGTATCGCGAAAATTAAGCGATTTCATCTCTACTGGGTGCCAGATCACAAAAGCATCGAGGGCAATGAGGTACTGGACGAGATTGCCACGAGTGGTCACTCGAATACGTGGTGAACATTGGAAAACGCATAGGAAATCAAGTCAAAACGTGATAGAACGATCTACCTGGTTGCAAAACTGCAAAAGTCATTTGTAAAATGGTAGATGGTAAATATACAAAGATCCACTCGATTGAAGGGACTTTATGAACATAATTGGAATAATCATTGGTCGCAGTCTGGTGGCGGCACATGCCTACAGAATGGAGCTGACAGATCGAGAAGACAAGCAGGAAATGTCAAGAGCAAGGCATCAGAGCAACAATGAAGCATCTCTTGTGCATTTTAAAGGCCGGACGGTATGAGACACTGGAAGAGGTATCGTTAGTGAGGCCACAGTTTCTGTTAAAATTCGCGTCAAGCGCAGGCACCTTAAAGGATGACTACTTCTCAAGAGCTTCGTAACGGAATTCCACAAAGGACCAAAACTGATTTATGCGTGCCTTATTAGCCTACCAGACTAACCTAACATAACATTTTTGACATATCTCTTGTAGAATCCCAATTTTCCTATATTTTTTTTCAGATAACATAATTTTTCAAAAAATGTTGTAAGTTTATATAATATATTGTAGAAATATAATAGGGCTACGTATGTATTTGCTAAGCTGAGAGTTAAAAAAATCATATATTTTAAAATTAATTGACTCATGCTGTTGAGTGATCGATGCGATTATATCTGATGTTTCATCTTAATCACATCGAAATTGAAAAAAACTCTCTTATAGGTAAGTGGATTTAAAAGATCTGTGATTTTTTAGATGAACACCCTATTTGCATGACAATAATAAATATTTTGGTAGATTTACTGCTTAATTTTAATCTGCATATGTTGACGACTAACGAGTCACACACAAGTCTTATCACTCAAAGTTGTTTTTTGTTTTATTTAAATTTTTCGAAAAAATTGGCATAATACCTATGTACGCGTGTTACCTGAACTTTGCATATGCTGAGCGGAAACACGTACAATTATTATTGGCATTAAACACATAACCTAGAGGTTATCGACAAATGCTGGTTTGTACACGATGCAATGTTTAGAACATATGCACTTTTCAGTTTAAAAACTTTCCCTACGCTTTCAGGCGGTAAAATTCAGGTGCTAAAATTACAGTTGCAGTTAACGCTAGGCGGCGTAGCTATGGTTCTAAGGATAATGCCTTGATCACTGATCGTGTGTTTTAGGTGAATTACAAGCTCAATTCCATCGAGCATGTTTTTGGAAGAATATGTCCAGTACTCGAGTAGTATCAGCATGTATGTATAACTGTTATATTATATTAAAGCTAAAAATTTTATTTTTGATATAAATTAAATAATTATTACTCTTTAAGCGTTTGGTTAAGCCGTCCAAGCTTTGTGTAGCCTATAAGATGGGGGCCTTTGCAAACAAAAAGTTATTCTCCCACCAAATATCGGTCTTATTTTTTGTAAAAATATTAGTTTAATTTAGTAGTCTTAATTTAGAACATTAAACCCTTATTACTTAATTATCAAAGAGAAGAAAGTGTGTTATCTTCTGTCTAATGCTGCCTTAGTAAGTTACCGCGGTTCGTTTTAAGCAGGTTTTATTTAAAGTAAAAAGTGTATATAGTATTTACATAGTACAAAATCACTGATATTTAGTTAATAACCCACTATATTATTGTATATTAATTATTATTTTATACAATTTGTTAATTAAAATGTTAAAATGTTAGTCATTAGTTCAGATATGTTGTGTGATGTTGTAAATAGCTGTTAAATAACATTGTAATTAACTTTTATGATTTTTATAATAAAACTTAAAAAACTGTTTAATTGTGTTGCCAGATTGTTATTTTTTCAAAATCATATTTTTGAAATTCAGGCGTCTTGTAAAACTTGGCGTATATTGAAAACTTGTTAGTTGACTAAATTAAAATGAAAATTTGTTAATTGACTCAATTAAAAGTAAGAAGTGAGTCAATTAACACATTTTTATTGTATACATATGCATAGATATATATATATTATACAGAAATTTAGACTATTTGCTAATGCTAATTGACTCAATTATACCTTTTAATTTATATAAAAGGTATAATTGAGTCAATTAAAACATTTTCCTTATACCTCTTAATTGGGACAACTTGCTAATTAACTAAATTGAGTTGCCGTATGAAATATTTAATAAAAATTATGGTTGCAGTATATTTGACATTTACGTACGTATGTATGTATATATGTATATAAAGCAGGGTCAAAAAAATCGTTAATTTTTTTCACTTAATACTTCACTTTATAAAATTTGTTTGTAGAGAACTCAAAAAAGCTCTTTAAATATGCGCTCCTAATATTAAGAGGAAGATCATTCGCTTCTCAGTTTCCTATTTTATTATTGGACAGAAATAGATATACTATATATCACATTTGAAAAAACTCTCACGTCACTGATATTTGCAGTAAATGGAATAAAAATTTAATTATTTTACTGCACATTTCCGTTTTTTTTCCTGAATTTTATAGCTCGCTTACAAAGTATTGTTATGATGCGCATACTCTATGAGTTTGTACTTTTAATTAACCGTTCAAAAATTATTCGTAGTCAAACCTCAACGCACACTAATTTTAACACTTTTTGATTAATAATTCAAAAAATTTCCATTTAATTCAACAGCTTCAGAGAATTTTTTACAACTTTTTAGTATTGTTTTTTTTTGCAGAGAAGTATATAAAATCTATTTTTTTTTTGTCAGGGCTGTCGGTCAAAGTGACCATAACCTTTCTCAATATGTTGAACTTTGAATGAAAAGCAAATATTTTGAAGATCACCCTTTCAGTTTGTAATTATTTTTTATTTCATACCGTTGTTCTCACAATTTGCATTACTTTTTCCAGTACAGCCCAACTTGTCTCGCCAAATTGACAAATGTTGGTTTGCAACTGGCCGACATAGTTAGTTTGAAAGCATTTATAACTGAGTTCATCTGAACTCAAAAAAATTCTGTTTTTAATAGAAACAATTTTAAAATTACAAATGTTACCTAACTATCTAAGCAATACTGTAATTTTTTAAGTTTTCTTTTAAAATTACTAAATTAATATTATTGTTAAATAACTAATTACATATAAGTACTTTCATTCTCTAAATTAAATGTGCTGCTGTTTGGATTGCTCGATGTTTTCTTATTGCCAATTGTATCCGCTTCGTGCACTGTCGTCGGTAAAATTGTATTTGAGGTTTCCGGAAAGAGCAGCGACAAGCAACCACTGACTAGAGCGCAAACTGCAAATAATATGGCGGGCGCATTCTCATAATATTTAGCCTGAAGAGAGACAAGAAAATTAATTTTTTTTAACAAGTTAGAAATAACAATGAAGCAAAATCGGTGATGGTTAAAATATATTTAAGAAAATATCTTCTCCTTAAATTCCTTAAATAATTTTGGTAGTGCTGCAGAATCATAACCGAAGGTTGACCGGATATACATATATCTGGGTTTGTTTCGGTTATTTATATTGAACTAATGTGCGATCATCAGACTTCCTAGTAGTTTCTATTTGTACTTCCATGAGAAAAATGTTGGTCTATGGACAGAAGCCTTTTATCATAGATAAATATAATTGTTGAAATTATGTTTGAGCGCCACTTCAGCATATTTCCAATTTATTTATTTAATGATTTAAGGTATTGGAAGAAACTATATTTGCTTTTATTTACTTTAAACTCTTACCAACAAAGGCGTCTGTGGCGCTACCATTGAACCAAAACGGCCAACCATCGAGCAGAAAGACAACAAGCTGCTACGCAAGTTCGTTGGAAATATCTCCGAAGTGAAAAAGTATAAAACTTGGAACGCTGCGGTGATGGCGAGCTTACCCACTAGAAACAAGCTCAACTGTAGATAGTAATTCCCTGTAAAAACAAAAATATAAGTAATGATGTTCACAAATAAAATACAGCTTTTCAACAAGGATTTCCGACCTGAACCCAAAAACACCGTACACAGACAGCATACACCACTGAGCAACATAAAACCGCATAACGAATATCTTCTACCATATCGATCCATCGTCAGACAGGGTAGGAAAAAACCGGGAATTTCCACAAACGCAATCAATATGAAATTAAAATATTTATTACCGGCCAAAAGCACCGAGTTCAAACTGAGTCCATAGTAGACCAGCACCGTCACTATCCAAGATAACGAACAGTTTGCAATACGAAAGAATAATTTACCGAAAGCCTCACGCAAAGGGAAACGACCACCCCTTTGACTGCTTAGTTTTTCACGATTCGCCAAAATCAATTTATCCAACGTTGCATCAGATAGTCTACGTTTATTTATGTGCGCGGCACGTTTCAGTATATCTGTAGCTTCTGATTCACGTTCCTGACTAAGCAGCCAACGCACGCTTTCCGGCAAAACCCAGTAATAGGAGATCACAGCCAACGCCGGTATGTAGAATATACGTAGCATAATGCGCCAATTCGGAAAGTACATAGAGACCACGGCTAAGAACATCTCGCCAATGGCATAGAAGATCGTAATTATACTGCAGGCGAATACGCGCTTGCTGGGACCGACCAGCTCAATGCCAATGATAAAGCAAATGGAATAGAGTGAGCTATTCGCGACGTTGTCGAGGAATTCGAAGACCAGAAATGGCACATAGGAGGTAGTAAATGAGCGTACAATCCCAAATATGGCGCTCAGTACGCCACCAAGCGCGAGTGCATTACGCCGACCGTATCTAAATATTTGCGTAGAAATGTTATAATATTAGTTCATAACTAAAATCTTCGCGGTATCTTAAAAATATTACGCACTTATCCGATATCAAACCACCTAACGGTATACCGATAAATTGTCCCACATTGTTAATGGTACCGGTGAGCGTCAGCTTCCATTCATCGTTGCAGTAGATGCCGAACTATAGAGTTTATGCGAGTATATATTACTTTTCAAACTATATTTCTTCACTTCTTCATTGCTCTATACTCACGTCATTTGATATTGTCACTTCGTCATCGCGAAATATGAAATTATTGTCAGGGCAATCCTGCGTCTCCTCGTCATCAAAAAGATCTGCCGTACAATATTGTTCAGCTTCGTTTGTAACGCTCCAGTTCGTAATTGCTCTGGGTGCATATCGTTGGCACTGATTGAGATCACTATTCTTCATTGGTATGGCATATTTAACCCATGGCTCATCGTAAGCACTCTGTGGCCCATCACATTCCGTGATATTACACCTAAATTAAAATTAAGTAGGTGTTGTAGGTTGCGATCTTTTTAAGGTCGATCGGTACTATATGGCTTGATGTTAGATGACAAATAATGGAATGGCTGATGAAATCGATCTGAACATTGAAAATCTTCTATAAATGCGGTTGCTTTCTTCGGCTTAGGTTCTATTTTAATCCAGGAGATTACCGCGTATTCAACTCACTTGGTTGCCACTTCTTCCTATTTGTGTTGTGTGGTTGATTTTTTTTGATAAATGAACAGATATAAGAGCTGTAAAGCTCCTCATAACAGATGGATTTGATTAGAAACTTTTTTGAAGTCAAAAGTACACTCAAAGTTTGACAAAATACCGCGAGAGAAAACCGTTTAAAAAAAAAGTTCCCATATTTATAGCTTCTTGGTTCGGTCTCGGTTTTGAACTCAAAAAGTTTTCTTACTCTCAGTTCCTAATCTTACGGCGAATATTCATCATTAAAAAGGTTTTTATCTGAAATTTTTGGATTCACTGAGGATGTCAAGACCACAACGGAATTTAATCTCTTGCTTCCTAAGACTATTTTTTTTTTATTATGGTATATGAGCTCAGCTTAATATTATAATATTATATTTGGCTGAAATCGTCTAATAACCTGATCACCCCACAAAGGTTAAGAAGTATGTGATACCGCGTAATTTGAGGTGATTCTATGTTCTGAATGACTATGGACCATAACTTTCTAGCTCTGATATCACCTTCAACCGCAGTGACGAAACTCACGATTTCTCATGTTATAGGTTAAATATTTGATATTGCTTCAAGTGGACAACTAACAATAATACGAAACCAACCAATGTTTCGCCATGCAATTAAAATTTTCTCAACAAATTTGATATTACTGACTAAACGTAAAGTAATTGTTAGGCAGCTAGTTCAGTTTTATTCAAGTTTACTGCCTTATGGAATGGTTTATTTTAAGTCTAGTCTTAAACTAGAATTTAATGCTCTATTTATGTTTTTTAAAGTAGGCGTTAACTAGTATTTTTCGAACTAGTTCGGTTTGAGAGAAGCATTTATTGTGTTTTGGTTATTTACTGGGTGTTAATATATTATATATATATGAAATGAGGGTGTATGCATGTATATTTATAATGTGTATATATTATATATATTATTTAATGCTTAAGTGTGTGAGAATTTATGCAAAATGAATTCTTGATTTAATGTGGTTCACAATTAATTCTAATGAGTATCTTCCGTAGAAATGCAAGCGATTTTATGTAGAGCACTCAGATTGTTCACCATTCATATGTAAGTGTATAGGTTTATATATGTATTAGGAAATTGGTTAGACAACTAGTTCGAAATAAAATATTTACTGATTAGTTTTGCTTCTTAATAATACATAATTTTGATTTTGCTTTCGAAAAATTTATTTGAAACCCCTTAGTTGTGCGGTTTATAATTATAGAAACCACAGCTGACTTATACAAAAATATTGGATTGAATAAAAACGATATTAAAATTTTATTCCACTTATGTAAGTCCAATCCACTTATGTAAGTAATAACCCCTTCTTCGAGGAAATAAATAGAGATCATCTTTGCTTGAAACTTGTTGTGGGCAGAAAGTAACTAGGAAATGACCACTACTCAACTAGTTATAAAAATATAACCTCAAAATATATTCAGAACTACATATACGAACTCGTTTTTTACCACATTTATATACACACACCTGCACGACCAGCTGTTACTAAGATTCGGATTTGTGAATTTATTGGTAGAATTACTCGATTGTCGACGTCTAATAGGCGGAATCCGTCTGTGGTTAATTCGTTAGTTGGGATTATATATGAATCAAATTCAACGTTTAAAAAATCTGAGTATTCGTAGCTTCAGTATCATTGATGTCCGATAGCCTTTAAAGTTACTGAGGGTTCATTAATTTCATCTAATAAATAAAGTAGTCGGAGAGACGGTAGGGCAATAAATAGGAGGACAATAGCTGGGAGAATTGTTCAAATTATTTCAATGGTTTGTCCATGTAGAAGTTTTCGGTTTGTGTATGTATTGAAAAATAATATTACTATTAAGTAACCAACTAATGTTGTGATTATAATTAGGATTATGAGTGCGTGATCGTGGAAGAATGTAAGTTGCTCCATAAGAGGGGAGGCTCTATCTTGAAGGCCAAGGGCAGCTCATGTTGTCATCTGTTTCTAATAAAAGTAAAATACTTTATATATGGAGCTTAAATCCATTGCACTAATCTGCCATATTAGATAGTTAGTTAAAAGAGGCAGTTCTGAGTAACTATGTTCGGCTGGAGGGGAATTTTGAATTTCAATTGATGAACTAAGTTGTATAGGGTAGATTACTTGTCGTTGTGTTACTAGACTTTCTCAGATAATAAATAAAAAAAATAAGATTCCTAGTAAAGAAATAGATGATCCAATTGTGGAAATTACGTTTCATGTTGTGTAAGCGTCTGGGTAGTCTGAATATCGACGTGGTATTAGTCCCCTACGCGACTATAAACTAAAAACAGTTACCTTTGGCGTCAACCGTGCTCCATATTTAGCCTTTCGAACACTGCACGAATTGGCTGAAAACATAAAGTCAAATGACTCTGACAACCCAGGTGTTGAAAACACTACGTATGTAGACGATATCCTGTCTGGAAGTCACACTCTTTCACAAGCATACGATTCACTAGCAACAAGCCCTCAAAACCGCAGCGTTTCCGTTGAAAAAGATAACGGCGAACTACCTAAAATTTTAAAAAAATACCAAAAGAAAATTTATTAGATACTAATTTCAAACGAAAGTACAAAAAACTCTGGGGATCCAATGGAATGCGATATCTGACCAGTTTTTATACACTACAGAGTCGATATCTGTGGCAAAACTTTTTGACCCGCAGGCTGGCTTTCGCCACTTATGATACAAGCCAAAATCCTAATACAAGAATTATGGCTGGATGGAACCGACTGGGACGAACAAGTATAACCATTTCGTTTAGAAAAGTTGTCCTAGTTCGCGAACAATCTAAATGATATCTCACAAATACAAATCTCACGAAGGGTAAACTATGCCCCGAGCATAAAGTCGAACTACGCGACTTCTGTGACGATTCTGAAAAGGCATATTGCGCAACTATATACGTTCCACAAAGCGACACTGCGACCACAAGCCACTTACTAGTAGCAAAAGCAAAAGTGGCTCCTTTAGAAACAATGAGTCTACCACGACTTGAACTATGTGGAGCACTACTACTAGCCAAACTAATGTCCATCGTAAAAACACAACATGGCACAATATAATTATATCTATGGTCCGATTCCGAAATTGTACTAGCCTGGTGAGAAACCTCCACACACATGGAAGACCTATATTTCCAATCGAACGTCTCAAATAATTGACCTAGTAGGACCGCTCTGGAGATACGTAGCCAGTGCTGACAATCCTGCCGATCCGAGTACAAGAGGGTGTAAACCCCTGCACCTTGCCACCACCACCCTATGGTGAAATGGCCCCCGATGGTTAACAGAATTCCCCGATTCTTGGCCACAAGCCCCCATGCGCTATATAATAGCCCCAGAAAGTCGAAAAATCGACTCTTTCCATGCAACATCGGATGATACTGATATCCTGGAGCGATTCTGATCGTTCCCCCGAGCCCTCAGAGTAGTTGCCTACATGATCAAATTTATAGAGCAACTCAAAATTAAAGTTAACGGAGTAACCTCTGTATATTTTCATGTTGTGTAAGCGTCTGGGTAGTCTGAATATCGACGTGGTATT